GGGGAGTCAGGAGTCCTGGGTTCCAGCCGAATCCCGCCCTCTCCCCATTTCTCACCTGCACCACTATTGGGCCCCTGCCAACACCCAGCTTGATGGTGGGATCATGTCTGGGCTGTACCCCAGGTCGAGTGAAGAATGCAAAGTGATAAGATTCTGCGCCCCTCCCTCATGGCACAGGTTCTGTAAACTTCCCCAGTCTGGGGTGGCAGGGACAGTCTAGAAGAAACACCAAGGGGATCGGCGAAGCTCAAGTGGTACCTGGCCCTCCAGCTCCGTATCATGAGCAGCTGGTTGGTGCCCAGGGAGAATGGGGTCTCCTGGTGTCCATCAGCAGGGGAGCTGTTTGGTGGGGAGCGGGCCGGACCCCTCTCAACCTCCCGCGTGCGTACAGAACCTCACTTTGCCAGAAGCGCACCCACAACCACCCGCGCCCCTTACCTGCTTCTCAAACTTGGTCTGGTACAGGCTCCGCTGCTCGGCCTGGTAAATGCCACCACTTCATCCCATCCCCACTTGTGCCACTGGCGGGTTACCAGAGACAGGGCGCCTCCCCCAGATGTGGAAAATTGGAGTATATGAAGACCAGCTGTTGCTTGGCTGTCTGAGGATCTCTCCTGTCACTGCTGCCCCTCCCGAGGATTTGAACAGGCTCGAGTTCAGATCCCTGCTCCACTGCTAACTTGTTTACACTCTGAGCCTCAGTTTCGCTTTCTGTTGAGTGGGGACGATGCTACTTCTCAACCTAGGAAATTCCTCCTTCTTCCCTCATCACTGTGCTAACTGCTGCCCATCCTCCCGGCCCCTCCTAGCGCCCCCTCCGCCGCCCGCCCCCCCCCCTCCGCGGCAAGCACTCGGGATAGCACTCTGCCCGTGGACCCTGGGTACAGTGGTTGGCTTGGGACGCATCTCTGGATAGCCAGTTTGCCTGTTTTCTGAAACCCTGGCATGAGACAGCTGCTGAGTCAATGGGCAAGTGAGTGAGTATCACCTGCCTCTGAGGATTCTTGTGGGGGCATGGGGTGCCGGTGGTGGGAACAGCCAGCATGGTGCCAGGCCACGATATCCTGGTCCTGCTCCCTGGGGCACTGGCCAGTGGACGCGGGGCCCCATGCACCCCGACGCCTCTCTCTCTCCTTTAAGGCCTCCCCATCCTTTCAGGTTCAGTGAAGAATCCCTTCCTCCTCCCAATCCTCCTTGTGCCTTTGGAGACACCTGCTACCGTCTCCACGAGAGCCCACCGCCTCCCCCAGCCTACCATGCACCAGGGGCTCTCAGCGTTCATCTTGGGAGCGGTTTGTCCCACGGCAGCAGCTCGAAGGCTGGCCTTGAGGGTTCCACAGCCCCTGCCCTCTCTCCCCTGACTCCCACAGGGAGACGGTCCTCTCATTGGGCCTTCTGGAAGGCCAGTGGAAGGACTCTACATGTCCTTGGGTGTTCCAGGCCCCGAGCCCCTGGCTAACCCCGGCTGAGGGAAAGATGACACAGTGTCCCAGATCACTTCTGTTTCCTGGGAGGTCACAAGGGCAGGGCAGGGCAGGGCACTGGGGCACCTGCTGGGTGGCTGGGGCCAAGAAACCCAGGCAGCAAGCCCAGCTCTGCCACTCAGTCACTCCCCATTCTGAGCCTCCTCGTCCGCCCAGCCCTGGGCAGGGACAACGGTCAGTCCTTTGGGAGGCCACAAAGAGGGTGCTAGAGCTCCCCGTGGGGCACACACAGCATGGAAAGCACATGGGGAAACAAGCGAGTGAGGCGAGCCCCACCGGCCCTCCCAACCTGACTGGAGGCTGGGGGAGGGGCTGTGGGGATGTGGGGAGCGGGGCCTGGAGGCTGGGCTGTCCCACTGTGGGGAGCAGCCGGGCAGAGCAGGCCCTTGGCTTGCAGCAGAATCAGGGTTCTCTCACGGGCTGAGGTCCCCAAGGCCTCCCAGAGTGACAGGAATACTGAGTGGTGGAGCCCCAGGGACGGGGAAGGCAGGGAAGACAGGAGACAGCAGGGGCTCTCCAGTCAGGTGGCCGGGGCTTGGGCCCAACTCTATCACTGGCTGCCTGCGTGACCCTGGGCAAGGGACCCTGACTTCTGCAGGCCTCAGTGCTCTCAACCATAAAACGGAGACCGCCCCCATGCTCGTAGTAGGGCTGGGTGACAGCCCCCAGTGTCTTCCACGTGTCCCCACACACCCCGGAGCCAAACCTTCCTGGCATCATCCCGGGCTTTCACACCAATTCCCACCTCCGGGACCAGCGGGGCTCCTCTGCACCTTGTCTTCCCCCTTCCCTGGGCCACTGGTCTCTCACTACCTGTGTCAAGCCCATACGTGACACACAGTAGGCACATGATGAACGCTCGGTGACACAACGCACGAGTGCAAACGCCCCCAGCCCCTGCCAGACAGCCTTGCACACACGCGGAGACGCACCCCCGACACCTCACCGCCCCATCCCACCGAGCTGCCCTGGACCACAGCAGAACAGCGCAGAGGCTGGCAAGGCGCTGGGCAGGGCAGTCTGGGAGGGAGCAAGGGTCTGGGTGTGGGCAGGGGTGGGGGGGAGGGGCAGCTGGGACTGGGGCGGGGACAGGCAAGGGGCAGGTGGTCACGGCAGCTCAGTAGCCCTGGGACTGGTAGCCCTGGGGCTCGGTGTCAAAGGCGTTGGCCGGCTGCTGGTAGGTCCCACCCATGCCGGCGGGGTCCGGCCCGGCGCTGGGCTCCACGTAGGGGGCGTAAGGCATGCTGGAGTCCTGGCTGGGGTCCATGTAGTCCTGGGAGAAGAGGGCCGAGTCGGCGCCAATCTGGTACCGTTGGAAGGCCAGCACGGCCTGGCCCACCTGGTGACAGGCGCCGGCGAGGATGAGGACAGGAGGGAGGGGAAGGTTAGGGGAGAGACAGACAAGAACAGCGGGTTAGTGGCAGTTAGTTCACACGACACACGCAACAGGGGTTAAGTACCCTCAAAGCACCAAGGAGGAAACTAAGCTTGCCTGGGGGGCTGGGGGAGTCTGTGCTGGCGGCCAGCCCTTGAGAGAGCCAGAGCCACACCGTCCATCTAGCTACAGAAACCTTCAGAAGTGACCCCCCCATGTCACAGAGGTCATGACGGTCCACCAAACATCCTCCGTGGGGGTAGTGTTAAAGTGGCCCAAAGGTCACAGCATCCTCCTCAAACTGTGTCCTCAAGCATGTTATGTGGAATGGGGAAAACAGGTTCTCGGTGGGAGAGAGAACTGTTGGTATCTCCTAAAAGCCATCTGTCTCTCTTGCAGCAAGGTGTAAGCATGTGACGAAGTTCTGGCCAGCACATCACCCTAAGTCCTTTGTCCCATCCTTTGACCTGATGCCTGGAATGCAGATGTGGTAGCTGGAGCTCTAGCTGCCACACGGGACCATGAGGTCCATGAGCCAAACTGGAAGGATGGAAGAGGCCTGGGTCACGGAAGTCCCCTGGAACCACTAGGCCAGTCTTGGGCTGTTTTCACAGACTTGGGCTGCAATTTACAATTTCACTTGTTGCTGAATCTAATTGTAACTCAAACATTTGACCAAACAAGTTTGGAAAGAGAGTGAAATAAAGTGTCAGAGCCTTGACTAATGTATGCTGGGATCCCCCAAGGGGAAAACTATGGCAAGCAGCATGTGCCAACCTTATCTGACCAACAAAGCCCTTTTCCCACAAGACCTCACTGGGAACAACTTGTCTACAGCGTATGTATGTAGGCGGGAAATTCTTTTTCAGTAAAAACTACTGCATTGTTATTAAGGACAATGACATTGACCACAGCAAGCTAGGCAATAAATTAAAAAAAAAAAAAAGTTTTTAGGTTTACATTGAAAGCCTCCTCCAAAGATCTTTCCAGCAAGTAGTCTGTCTGTGATGCAAAGAGGCTAATGCCCTCCAAACCCGCTTTTGGGCTGGGTTACAGGAGACCTCAAGGCTTCGTTACAGGAGACCTCACGGCAGTTAGTGCCAGAAGCCAGACCTGAACACAGAGGTGCTCCTCTTTCCAGGCCAGGGCCCTCTCCAGCTCCAACTCTTTGGTCAGCCCCCTGACAAGGCCATAAACCAACGAGGAACCCCAGAGGCCCATCTGGTGAGAGGCAGAGGCTGACATGCGCTTGGCATTATATTCTGGAGAGTTCTGAAAGCCCAGTGACCAGGCACTGACTTCTGATTTGTGTCACAGGGCAGGGGACCCTGCTGGACTGGGGTGCAAAGGGGAGGCTGGGAGTTGTGCGCAGAGCCTAGGGACCTGGTGGTGTGCCTGGCCCCTTCTCCAGAGTGGGTACACTGTCTGCGGCCATCTGCACTTGTATGCCTCTAGTGTTAGGAAGCTCCTTCTCTCTGTGCTTTGCTCTGGGGCCTGTCTGCTCTAATACCCCCTCAGCTCCTTCAGAGGGTGGAGAGAAAAGTGGTTCCTGCCCAGGGAAGCTGGAGGCTACAAAGAACTGGAGGCCAGAGTCTTTTGGAAGAATAAGGACTCACCCCATGAGAACTGTCCCCAAAGTAGGGATTATGGAGGTGTCCCTGACTCCCGGGAGAGAATGAATGATGAATGCATGAAAGAACAAAAGAGCCTACATTTATTGAGCATCTCTGTGCCAGGCCCTGCATCAGCCTTTGTTTCATCCGCACAACAGCCCTGAGAGGTAGGTCCACTGGGTAGTGGACGGAGGCTCAGAGAGGTGCAGGGGTTTGCCCAGGGTCACACAGCATATGAAAGCAGAGCCAGGCGAGGCGTCCTCTGACGTCCTCGGGCAGGCCCCCCACACCCTGCTCCTGAGCAGCCAGCCTCCCCGGGGAGTAAGGTCAGCCTTTGTGCTACAGTGAGGGACAGGCTCTCACAGTGTCCACAGTTGGCACCCCGGCAGCCCGCGTATGAGCCACCTCCCATCCTCTGAGAGCCCCCGGCAGTCTATTTGGGGGAAACTGCAATTTGTTTGTTTTCCCCTCCCCAGCCCGTAGGCTCCTAATGCCAAGGACCCCATCTGATTCATCACTAGGCACAAAACAGCTCAATAAATGTTTACTGAATGAACGGACAAATGAAACATAAAGGAGGCAACAAACGATTAAGTGGAGGGTCGGAACTGGCCTTGCCAGCCAGCATTCCCCTGCCCTGTGGGCCCTGGTATCCTGGCCGCTCCCGGCAGCAGGCCGCCCCCATGGCCTTGCCACTGGCCATGACCTGGGGCGCCCCTTAGCCTCTGGAAGCCAGGCAGGCCTATGGCTGGGCTGAGGCGGGAAACAGTGTGCTGTATTCCTCCTGGAAGGTAAGGTCCTTGAATCTCCGCACGGCCAGGGCTGCGGTCAGGCTCTGCCAGGAGCAGGAGAGAGCAGCGGTGAGGCCAACGGGGATGAGCTGGGAAAGGCAGAAGTGCCAGCAGGGAGGCTGGCAGCAGTGGGCCAGCAGGCTCCTGTGAGTCAGGCTCTTGGATCTGCCCCTAGAAGTCCTGCCGTCCTATCACCCATTCCTCCTCTGTGAACCCCATCCCCATGGCAGGGCTCACTGTTCCAAACACCTCCCTGTAGGGCTGGGTGGGCTGGCTTGTTGGTCTGAGATGCCCTGGGGTCATCTGATTCTTCCTGCCCAGCCCTGGGCATGGTGTGACCATGGAGGGTGTGGTGTGACCACAGCTGGGGAGCTGGGGCCCGAACCACAGGTGTTCTCCTCCAAACTCTAGCTCCTAATATTGCATGGGGGTTGGGGGGTCCCTAGAGAAAATGGATATTCAAGGCCTCTCATAAGGAGCAGGAAGTCACTCCAGGACAAGCCCTGGAGGGTAGAGGGACAGGGAGGGCGGGCTGCAGCTCGCTTTGCAGGAGGGGCTAGGTGGCCTGTATCTAGCCCCAGGGGCTCCCTGCAGGAGGCTGGGCCCAGGACCACTGGGAGGCATGGAGGGAAAGGGGCTGTACACAGGGGAGGGGAACCCTTCGGACGGGGGCCTGGAGCCCATGTGACCCAGACATCTGCAGGAGGGAGATGACAGGAGAAGAAATACATCAAGGTGACCCGGAACCAGTGGGAAAGAGGGCCCAGCCTAGGTCTAGAGTTTGCCAAGGGGTGCTGTCTGGCCAGTGGGGCCCAGAGACATGCTTTCTTTGACCTACACAGTAGGTTTTTTTTTTTTTTTAACTTGAATTAATTTCTAACATATAAAGATCAGATTTCACATAGAAATTCAGATTTCTGTCTTCTCTGGAAAGTGGGAAGACCTGGCCTGTGTGGATTCCCATTCCTGCTTTGGAACACGGGCCGAGGGTGCCCTTTTGGAGGGCACGTACCTGCCACCCACCCACTCAGAACTTCCCATGTGCTGCCTGCCCCGTGGGCATCTGAGTTTATGACAACTTCCCACCCCAAATCCAGTCGCCTGATTTTACAGATGGGAAGACAGAGTCCAGGAAACTTCCAGGCAGCACCAAGATGTGGCCCAGGTCTCCCGATGCCAAGGCCTGAGCTCCTTCCCTTAGGACTGCAAACCTTGTCTTTCCATCTAGGCTTCTGCTTGTGTTTGTAAAAGGTTATGGTAAACGCCCACAACCCAACTCCCAGAGCGGCTGGGAGGGCCTTCGTGATCCCTGGAGGGTGCTCTGCGCCAAAGCGAGGGTCTCCCGTCACTGGGGGACTGTCCTCCCTGGCACTGGCAACAGCCTCCGTCCTCAGGAAGCAGCCCCATGCGGGCGTCACGCAGGGGCCCGTTTGGGCCCTAGGAAGCAGGAGTCCCTGGCTAAGCTCCGAGGCCAGCAGCCTGGGAGCCTGGCTGGGGTGGGAGGGTGCGTGCTGGGCGAGCGGTGTACTCACCCACGTGAAGATGGAGAAGAAGGAGAAGGTGATGGCGGCCCGGGCTGCATCTGTCCCTTCATTCATTGGGTTGTCCTTCGGCTTGGACACCTGCCACTGGTTGGCCAGGAAGCAGAAGCCCACAAACCAGAGGAAGGCCCAGAAGGCTGGGGTGTTCACCGGGGCCAGGCAGGAGGGTGAGTGGGGAGGACCAGGGAGGGGTTCAGGAGCACATCTCCCACGCTCCCCCACCCCCAAAGGGAGAGGCCCCCGGGGGCAGGGGTGGGCAGAGAAGGGAACACAGGGAAGGTGAGGCCAGCGCAGGGAGGTCAGTCAGACACGGAGTGGGACAGAGACCACAGAAAGGAGCCGGCCCCATGGGGACAGCGCAGCCACAAGCAGAGCCAGGGAGAGCCAGGGGCGGTGAGGGGAGGGAAGGAGGGAGAGACAGAGAGAAAAGTCAGTCAGCCTGGGCAGGCATTTCTATCACCGCAGCCACACACAGATTTCCCAGCTGAATCCCCGCCTGGGGACCACCGGCTGCCCCTGCAGCAGTGGGGGGGCGGGGCAGCGATCTGAAACCCCCCTCCCCCGCCCCAACCACTGCCCCACTGTGGCCTAACAGGGCAGAGAGAGGAGGAGGAGGAGGAGGAGGCTGGGCAAGGGGGGCAGCTTGGCTGGCTGGGTCTGAGCCCTGACTTCTTCCATACCTGCAGCCTCATAAAGCCCGAGGTTCGGGCGGGCCCTCTAGAGGAGAGGCCTGGGGAGTTCAGTAGCGGGAGCCTCGTGGCAGTGAGATCTCCTGCGGGTGCTCAGAGACTACCCAGGGAGAACCAGAGCTGCTCCGATGAAGCGTGTGTGTGCCAAACGGCTGGGCCCATAGGCACTGCTGGGGAAACCTGGGGCTCCGCGGAATACAGTTTGAGAACTACTAATTTCACTCGAGCTTCCAGGTCGAAGGGACCGGCCTCACTGCTTACAGCCGGCCAGACTCATCCTGAGAGTCCCAGGCTGGGTAATGGGGGGAGGTCGCAGCCAGGGACCTGAGACCACAGCCAAGGTCTCACTGCCCTTCAACCAAAGCACCCAGCGATCAGACTCTCAGAACTCTTGGGGACAGAGGTCGGGTCACCTCTGCCAAAGGCTGTTTCTGGAGGGCAGGGGCATCAGGTCATGTCGGACCCCGACCCTCCCTAGGCCCGGACTGCATACCAGGCTGTCAGTCTTGCCTGACTTCTCACGAGGCTCTACCAAGGGAAAGGGCACAGAAGGGGCCTCTGAAGGGCGGGAAGCTGTGTCCCCTCCCTGCTGTTGCAGTATCTCAGGCCCAGCCCCACCACTCCCTGTTGCCAGCCAGGTGACCCCAAGTCCATCCCCTCACCTGCCTCATAGCTGAGGAGTGATGGGCCCGCGGGGCGGGGGACACCCTCCACAGGCTCTGTTGTGCTGGGGGGTGCCCACGGGGCCGGGGGACTCACCTGAAACCCCGATGTCGGACAGGACAGCTTTCTTGCGGTCCTTCACGCTGCTGATCTGCGGGAAGTACACGTCCAAGGCCAGGTAGAGCAGGCAGGTGAGGAAGGCGAGCACGCCCACAGCCACGCCATAGCTGCAGGCGCTGGGGTTGCGGTTGTAGATGCAGAACTTCTCGCCCCCCGAGTTGTTGTTGAGGTAGCCCTCGTTCACGATGGAGCCGAACACCACGATGGAGAACACCTGTGGGGCGGGGGAGGGGCGGGCCGGGTGTGAGACCCAGGCCCGCCCGACCCAACACCAGGCCTGGAGGAGGGGAGGCTACTGCCCTGAGCCTGCTGCCTGCCCACACCCCAGCGAGCCCTCTTCACCTCCAACAGCCACAAGGCTGCTGTGAAGCAGGCATTTCAGAGGGGAGGCCCAGAGACGGAGGGCAACTTGCTTCGGGTCACATGGCGCAGGAGGGGACAATCACTTCCTTCCTCAGCCTCGGACTCTAAGGAGCCCTCTGACCACAGATCTGGCGGTACCATCCCACCAGCCAGGTCCTGGGAGGTCTTCCTGGGCCCTGACACCAAGATTCCTCTAGAGCTGGACCTGGCCTCCTAGAACGAGTGGTCTTACGTCCTGGGAGGTGGGCCTGTCAAGCCCCGACCCTAGGCCGACTCCCCTAGATGTTGGCACATGCCCAGCCTCATCTCCAATCATGACCTGAGTCGAAGGCAGATGCTTAACCGACTGAGCTACCCAGGTGCCCCTAACCCTCCGACTCTTGGTTTTGGCTCAGGTCATGATCTCGGGGTTCTGGGATCAAGCCCCGTGGCCAGCTCTGCACTCAGCAGGGCGTCTGCATGGGTTCTTTCCCTCTGCCCCTCCCATCGCTCGTTCTCTCTCAAATAAATATATTAATTAAAAAAAAAAAGTAACACCAGTCACAATCCCACCAATTACAGGGCAATCTGTACTCCCCCAAGTGCAGTGCACATGGTACCTCCTTGAACCCAGCAGCCCTCTGTGATGGGTCTATGCAGCGGGGTAGACAGCCAGCCAAGATGGCCGCCCTCCACCCCACCCCGCCTCCCCTCCAGCCCCAACTCCTGGTATTCACAGCCTTGTGCAACCTACTTCCCTTGAGTGTTGGCTGGGCCTTGCGACTCACTGTGAACCAACAGAATATTGCAAAAAGGGAGAGATAAGATCTCTGTGAGGAGATTACAAAGACTTTGGCTTCCACCTTGCTTGCCCTCTCCTGCCACTCCCTACTTGCTCGCTCTAATGAAGAAGCTGCCATGTTTCGAACTGCCCGGTGGAGAGGCCTATGTGGCATGGAACCGAGGAAGGCCTCCAGCCAACAGTCAACAAGGCCCGGAGCCCCTCAGCCCACAAGGAATCGAGTCCTTGGCTGGCACCGTGTGAGTGCGCTTGAAAATGGAATCACCCTCGGCCTTCAGACAAGACCACAGCTCTGGATGACCCCATATGGTAACCTGTGAGGATCCCGAGGCACTGGCCCCTGGCTAAGCGGATTCCTGACATCAGAAACTAGGAAATGACTAGGAAATGAAATTAGGAAATGCCTTTGGCTCAGGTCATGATCACAGGGTCCTGGGATCCAGCCCTGCATGGGGGTCCCTGCTCGGTGGGAAGCCTGATTCTCCCTCTCCCGCTCCCCCTGCTTGTGTTCCCTCTTTCGCTGTCTGTCAAATAAATACATAAAATCTTAAAAAAAGATTACCTCTACCTCTCACCTCAGAGCCTCAGGTGTGTGGCCTTCAGTGAGCCTGAGGCAGAGGCCGGAAGGATTTTTATTGCCCGTTTTCCACTTTGTGTTTTCCAATTTTTCTAAAAGAAGAAACTAATTTCAGGCACATTTTCATCCTCAGCTAATAGGATGAGCAGTAACTCCGTGGCAGGTGTAGGAAAAAATATGATAAGTATTATTATTTTTTTAATCTCATCTTCCTAAGATGTCTATACTTTTTTTAAGATTTAATTTATTTATTTATGTGAGAGAGAGTGAGTGAGAGAGAGCACACATGAGCAGGGGCATAGGGAGAGGTAGTGGGAGAAGCAAACACCCCACCCCCACTCCCGGCTGAGCAGGGAGCCCGATGTGGGACTTGATCCCAGGAACTCGGGATCATGACCTGAGCCGAAGGCAGATGTTTAACGACTGAGCCACCCAGGCGTCCCTAAGATGTCCATACTTTACATGGGTTTTGTAATGTACTGCATCTGTGGAGTAATAATGTATATAAAATGAAGAAATCTACATTTAATGGGAGGAATGATTCGGAAGTTTTCCTAAAGGAGGGCATGACCAAGAGTGTGGAGACCACTGGTGCCTGGCACTGTGTGTTAGGAAAAATTCGAAACCAAATGTCCGTCGATGGATGAATGGAGAAACAGCTGTGGCATCTCCACATAATGGAATAGTTTTTAGTCATTAAAACAAACAAACAACAAAACAGTTCTGACATGGCCATAACTTAAAACAAGAGAAAAAGAAGAGGTGAAGGAAGTCAAACACAGAAGGTCAATGTTACATAATTTCATCTATGTCCTGTATCCTCAACAGGCAAAACAGAGACAAGAAGCAGACCAGAGGCCACCAGGGAGGGAAGAACAGGGAGTGATTACTGAATGAGCATGGGGTGTTTTTTATAGGGACGAAAGGTTCTGAAATTACACAGAGGTGATCTTTGCACAACATAAATGCCACTGAACTATGTGCTTTAAAATGGTTTATTGTGTGCTATGTGGGTTTTTCTGCAATTAAAAAAAAAAGAAAGAAAGAAAGGAAGATGAGACTGTGGGGCTGTGTTCTGGTTCAACGACGAGCACACTGGTGGGCTGTGGTAGCTCGTGAGCCACACATTTGACAGTCCAGACTCGAGCGTGTACACACAGCCAAGGTCCAGCCCCGTGCAGGCATGCCACACATTCTGCATCCTTAGGATCACCCCGCCAGGCAGAGAGGGCAATTGGTGCTTCTCCCAATTAGTGGCAGAGGAAAACTGAGCCTCAAACAGCAGGTGGGACTGTTGTCGGCAGAATGGGTTGAACCTGAACCCAAGTGTCTCGATTCTCAGCCCTGCGCTCTTTCCCCCCTAACCAGGCTGACTCTCAGCCTTAGAAGGGGGGCCCTGAAGGACGGGTAGTCTTTCCAGACACCCGAGGGGCCCACGGTGTGACTGAGTGCCACGTCTGGCGCTCAGGGGCCCAGGAGGGGAGACGCAGGAAGTCTGGACTTCACAGGAATTGTCTAAGGGACTCCTGGTCTACTGACAGTCTGGGCAACAAGCAAGGCAGACGCTGGACACCAGGAGACGAAGGCAGGCTCCCACGGCTGGTTGCCAGAGCTGTGCACAGCACCATTTCGGGACTGCCATTCACGCAGCCCCTTGGACTTGTGTGCCAAGATAAGTCCAGGGTTCCTACTAGGAACCTGCCAGGTCAGGAATCTGAGGCCCAGCTCCGGATGTCACCCGCTGTCCCCAATCCTGCGGAATGGAAAAGCCTCTTGATTCAAGGGTGCTCCAGACACTGAGGAGTCCCACAGAGCTGCTGGAGTCAAACCCCAGGCCTGTGGCTTATGCTATGTGGCCTCAGGTAATGACAACCTCTCTGAGCCTCAGATCGTCCTCTGCAAAAACTAACCCTCCCTTCAGGGCTAACGGGAGAACTACAAGCAAGCACCCCGAGCAGAGCAGTGCACAGGAGGGGCTTGGCAAGGATTAACTCCCTTCTCCAGAGGGCCCAGGAAAGAAGGAAGAGCACCAGGAAGGTCCTCTTGGGCAGTACTTCCTGATAGGCTCCACCAGGGTTGGGGACAAGGGTGGACCCCCGGCCAAAAGCAGGCCAGGAGGAGGTGGGTGGGGAAGCAGGTGGGCGGAAGCTGGGGCTTTGGGGACAGTAGAGGAGGAACCATTAAGACAGGGCCCTCTTTGGGGAGAGAAGCAGGGAGTCCCTGGAGAGGCCAGGAGGCACGTGCTGGAGACAGCGTGTCCCCAACAGAGTAAGGAACAAGATCGCAACATCCTCCAGGGAACTGGCGGGGCCCAAGGGCAGCGCAGAGAGAGGAGGCTCTGTGCTAGCTCTGGTCCTCCTCTCCAGCCCACGGCTCCGGCAGGCAGGACTCTCTGTGCTCAAGCCCTCCTTGCAGCTCAAAGTCACCTCAGGCAAGTGACTTGCCTTCTCTGTGCCTCAGTCCCCTCATTCGTAAAGCAATGGCGCATTGCGAAGGAAGGGATGAGGTCGTGCACGTGTCGTGGGGGCGGCGCCCCCAAACGCCAGCCTGATGCTGAGCAGCTGGACAGAGACCGAGGCATCACAGGCCTAAGTGATGGCAGGAGGAGGCAGCAACGGCCGGGAGGGAGCCGAGCTGCGATTTTGGAGCACAGACGAGAAGCAGCCGGCCAGGCCGAGAAGAGGGGAAGTGGGGAAGTGTGTTTCAGGCAGAGCAGGAAGGGCAGAGGCTGAAGGTGGAAGAAGTGACCGAGGAGTGGCGCTGCACAGGTGCACGGGACGGGGAGGGAGGGAGAGCAGGCGCGGTTCCGGGGTGGGGGGTGACAAGGCCGGATGGACCACAGTGGGACATGGTGAGAAGTCACAGCGGGGTGACCAGACCTGTGGGTCACCATCCCCGCCCTGCAGCATGAAGGGCCCTAAAGCGGTTCCCCACCGCCTTCCAGACACGATCCAACCTTCCAGGGCTGGCAGTCAGGGCCCCGGGGCCTCACCTCCCTCCACCAGTTCAGGTCACCAGTCTGCTTCCCACCTTCCCACGCCCCGCTCTCCTTCCCCATACTATTTCCTCTCTGGACCTGGCTGCCGCCCGCACTGCAGGGTGCAGGGCTAGGGTGAAAGCTGGGAGACCCCCTGGGGGCTAAGGGGCGCCCTGGGCTGGCACCGGCAGGGGGGTGGTGGGACGGGGTGGGTGCCGAATGTAGGTGGAAGGTAAAGCCACCAGCATCTGCTGACAGGTGTGCCGTGGGGGACGGGAGGAAGAGCAAAGGGCAGCGGGTTGGGGGTAGGGGTGTGGCTTGATGACCAGTGGGGACACAGGTGTGCACACCACATCCCCTGCCAGCCGCAGAGCTGGGCTAGGACAGGGAGCCTCGCCCAGACCGGGCGGAGAGTCTACACATGGAAAGGTGTTGCCAAGGATACATAACTGCTCCCTTGAGGCCGCTGAACTCCCTCAAGGACCCTGCAAACCCTGGGTTAACTTCTCCATTTAG